CCTCATACAAAAAAGCCCACTTTACTAATAATTTGAGAACATTAAAGGAGGTTTTAGCAACTTGCATTCATAGCATTTTGAATGTAAATCAATGCCGATAATACTCTCAACCTTTCTAGATCCTAGATTGGAAGTGTTACGGAATTGTATCGTGGCTAGGTTTACCCAAGTTATGTAATTAGGATAACCACTTAAGCACACGCAAGTCGAGTCTCGATAACAAGGAAAGGAAAGTTATTTGAACTCGTGATGTTTTGAATGTAAATGTGAATATATTATTGGCTGAATTATTAATAAGCAACTAAGGAAAGGAAAGTAACAAGATGTGTGATTATATGTGTGGTTAGCATAGGATGCCATGAAAGAGGAATAATAATGATAGCAGAGTCGGTCCAAGAAGGACTATCATGGATAGGGAAGAATAATTAAAGACGTTGCTTAGACAACATCGGAATATTTAATGTAGTGTATGAGAATAAAACAAAGTAAATTGCGAGGACGAAATTTTTTAAGGAGGGGAGAATATAATATCTACGATCCAAAATCCTTCTTAAATAGAAATATATTATAAATATATTTTATGTAATTAACAAAAATATATATATATATTAAATGTGAGAAATAAAAGTTTAAATTTTATTTAAGAATGAAATAAACATAAGTATGATTAAAATGGAAGGTTAATAAAATGAGTAAGGCTTAAATTAGAAATTGGTATCCTCAATTGATATGATTGTGTTTTAACTTAGGGATGCAATTGCAAAACCTAAAGGCATAATTGAAAAACTAAAAGTTTACACACTTGATTAAAATGATTAAGCAACTTTAGGCCTTTAAATTACTCTTGAAAAGGGTCTAAGTTAAGGGCCAAATTGAGAAAAATTATAAAGTTACAGATTGAAATTTGAGAGAACGATTGCAAAGATTAAAAGTTTAGGAGCTATAGTGTGAAGTGTTGAAATTGGAGGGCTTATTAATTGATTATAAGGGACAAATTTTAGTTAAAGAATTTTGGAAATCTTGAGAGAAAAGGATAAGAAGAGAGGCGACGAAAAGGGAAGAAACAAGAAAAAATATCTAAAGAAAAAGAAGAAAAGATGAGGAAGAAAAAAAAATCTAAAAGCCATTAATAACCAACCTTAAGATTAATCTAAGTGTAACACACTTGGCAAAATCCTAAGGAAAAACCATGACTACAAGAGGAGAGGAAGAAAATGGAAGAGGGGTTACAAGCCAAAAGTGATCAAATAACCCTAAAGAAGGAATTACACCAACCTAGTAGAAAGTCATCTAACCACAACTCCAAACCAACTTAGGTAACCTAAAAACATCCTAAAACAATCTCAAAATCAAATTAGAAGATCAAACGAGAGACGGAGAAAAAGTTACTACCCGGATCGAAATTATTGGAAGAAAGAGGAGGAAAAAAGCCAATGAGGAAAAGAGGAGAATTGGGCGGACTTCAAGTGAGGTAAGTGTAATCCTTACTACACCATAAGAAATTAATTTTTTATTTTTTTTTGGTTGCATATTTGATGATAAATTGAAGTTATATTGCTTGAGGCTTAATGATTTAATTGTTGGTGAAACTATGCTCGTTTGATTTTGATGGTTGTATGGATGGATATGTAAGTAAAAGATAAAACAAAGGAAGAAAAGTTACTATTTGGGCTGAAGTTATTGGAAAAAAGAGGAGTAAGAAAGCTAAAGAGGAAAAGAGATGAATTGGGCAAATTTCAAGTGAGGTAAGTGTAATCCTCACTACACCATAAGAAATTAGTGTTTTTTATATATATTTGATAATAAATTAAAGTTATATTACTTGAGGTTTAATGATTTAAATGTTGGTGAAACTATATTGTTATTTGATTTTGATGGTTGTATGAATGGATATGTAATTGTGGTTTGAATTATGATGATTTGATGTTTAATTGAATTAAATGGTTGAGTTTTGAGGTTGTTCTTGTTCTTAGAACAAGGTGGTTGAGTATCCTTAAACTTGAATAAATTAAAGGTTTTAAGACCTAATATTTGCAATATATTTGATAAAATGCTTTAAAGATGTTTATGGTGCTAAATTAAAAACATTGAAACTTGATCACTTTATGACGAATTTCAACCAAGAAGATTTAGATTGAATGAAAATTTAACCTACTTGATGCTAAAATGATGAGAAACATGTTAGTTTAAGAAAATTGAGGTAAAAGGAAAAAATGAAAGTTTTCCTTCCATTGACCAATTTCAGCCAAGAATGAAAAATAAAGGCAAAAAGGGATAATGTGAGGTCAATGTAATTTTCAGGTTTAGATATATGATATGACATAAAAAATGATTATAATGATATGAAAATGCATAGATTATGTTGCTTAAATATTCGATCATAATGTGTATTTAAGGCATGATCAATGTTCATAGTTTATACATGTTGTGCATGCTTAGTTTATGTGAAACATGTATTTGATGTTTTATTTATGTTACATTTAAAAAAAAAAAATTAAAAGTATGCATGTTGATGCTTATGTTGAATACACTACATTTTTATTTAAATGCATTTGCATATCATAATCATGAAAGATGTTTTACATTCATGATTTTGATGAAATGCTTTAAGTTGCTAAATTAAAAATATTGAAACTTAGTCACTTTATGATGAATTTCGACTAAGTAAGAAGATTTAGATTGAATGAAAACTTAGCCTCCTTAATGTTAAAATGAGAAGAAACATGTTAGTTTAAGAAGATTAAGAGTTAAAAATTAAGGTAAAAGGAAGAAATAGAAATTGTCCTTCCATTGGCCAATTTCGACCAACAATGAAACATTAAGGCAAAAAAAGATATGTGAGGTTAATGTAATTTTGAGATTTAGAGGCATGAAATTGCATAAAAATTATTGTAATCATATTAAAATAGATAAATTATGTTGCTTAAATATTCGATCATAATGTGTATTTAAGGCATAATTGATGTTCATTCTTTATATGTGTTTTGCATGCTTCTTTAGTTTATGTGAAACATGTATTTGATATTTTATTTATGTTACATTTTCTTAAGATTTGAAAATATGCATGTTGAGGTTTATATTGAATGCATTATATTTTTATTTAAATACATTTGCACATCATAATCATTAAAAAAGCTTTAAATTTATGATTTTGATGAAAAGAAAATGAAAAAAAAAAGTTAATGAATGCATTTCATATAATGCATTTACATACCATAACCATGAAAATGATTTTTCTTGATGTTTTAAAGAAAGACCGATCATATACACAATTGGTAAGATACGCTCGAAGAGTAAAATGAATTTCAAAAGACAAATAATTTTTAAATCCAGCACATGCATTACATACATTATATGGATTATATTTACCGAGCATTGCTCACCTTTGTTTCTTATGATGCAAGAGAAGAGAAAGATAATTAAAGTCAATCGTCGAAAAAACTTGAAGACTTGCCTTTATGTGTACGTAATGTGTTAAGGTATGAAAAACTTTACCTTAACTTAATTTTGGTCATGTATATTTGGTTAAGCAAATTTTTTTATGTATTAATGGATGGTATGGTTAAATATTAAGTTTGATATAGTGGTATAGATTGATTAGTTAAATAACTTGATAACCAAAATAGTTACTTGGATAATTGGTATGATCTAAATGAATTAATTCATTATGAAAAGAAATGAATTAAATGTATAAGAAAGGTAATACTTAAATGTTTACTTAATTTAATAACTAATAAGTTAAAAAAGATAAAAAGTAAGGAATTAGAAGGGCATGACAAGAAAAAGGTGGTAAGGTTAAAACTTAAAACAAAATTAATGATTAATGAATAAATGTAATTAATTGGTTAGTTTTAAATAAATTAGGAACCAAAGTTCCTTAACTCTAAAAAAATATTTTAAATGGCCAAAATGTTAGTTAAAAGTCTAAATGAATTTATTAAATGTTTTATTGAATTTTTATTATAATTTCCTAGCGAGTTTACCTCATAATTGGTTCTTCTAAAATTTCAATCTTTTTTATTGAGACTCTTTATTATTTTTAACTTGATCGAAACCTTCAACTCTTATAAATTTATTGATTGAAACCCTTCATTATAATGCCAATGACTATTCATTATACTTGGCAAGTTAAAGCTAATATTAACCAATCGGACAACAATATATGGTAAAAAAAAATTTATCCACATTTGCACGTGCAATTCTTGATTGGCACATAAGATGAATAGTTAACAATATTATAACAAAGGGTCTTAATCAATAAATTTATAAAATTAGAAAGTTTCAATAAAGCTAAAAAATAATAGAGGGCCTCAATCAAAAAGATTGAAACTATACAAGAACCAATTATGAAGTAAACCCATTTCCTAGCCAATGGAATTTTTATAAAAAATAATAAGCATTAAATCTTGATTTAGTAGTTACTATTCATAAATTATTTTCTAATTAAATGCAATACTTGATAATTCAATTATTTGTTAAATAAAATCAATATTAAATAGTTCTACCTTATTGTGTAGAATGTTTGAAAAGAAAATATTCTGAAATTGAATTTTATATGAATTTTTAAAAGGAATTTAAGAAAAATAAGAAACTTGCTTCAATTTATTTTAATGTAAGAAATTTTTTTTGAAATGATTAATTTGAATTTCAATTATATGGATTTTTAACCGAAATATGTCATTTAATAATTTGGGACCATAGATGCCCACTTTGCTAATAATTTGAAAATGTTAAGGAGGCTTGTTGGCTTACATTAATAGCACTTCGAATGTAAGTCAATACCAATAATACTCTCGACCTATTTAGGTCCTAGATTGGAAGTGTTACATAATGAGTTTCTCCTAATCAAACATGCATCTAAAACCAAAAAACAATAACCTATAGAAGCATGGCCTTGGCAAATTGCCATAAAAAACAAAAGAAGATGCACTCATGCTCAACACGACAATGACACCTTGTTTGGAAATCACGTTTGAAAAAAATATAATGCCATTATAAACTCAGTACAGTTTAGGCACTTATGAGAAACAGGCAGATTGAGATGATATGTAAATATTAAATTGGCATAAAAAAATCCAGAAGGGATATCAAAGTTGCATATGAAAAAACAAACAGTTCAGTTAACCAACCTTCAGGGATCCCTTGGCCAATTAATCTAGCATTTCGACCTGTCTGCTCTAAAGCTTCAGTAATAGTCTTCACTGGAGACGAACCAAGAATTCTCACCACTTGATTGGCCAAATCAACCTCCACATTCTTCACTCCTAATTATTTTTCCCACAATGGAAAACAAAACGCAACACTATAAGAGTTCTTAAAAGAACAAGAAAAAACTCCATTCCATGCTAATCAATGATTGTGTATTTAAAAATTGGAGCAAGGACTTACCATTAACAGTTTGTAACTTATTCTTGACTGAATTAACACAACCCTCACACTTCATGTCCACCATAAATTCTGTCTGTTTATCAAAACAAGATCACAAATTTCAATCAACAGAATTCAACCAAAAACATCAATGAACAATCAAGTAATCTCTCAAATTATAAAATTATCGAATAAAAACTTATATGAAAATCAAAGATGAAACAGAAAAAATGATAAGTGTTTAACTTACAACCAACTCAGGCAACGCTCCATTATCCTGGACAACAAAAGAAACAAGATCAAAGATTCAAACTTTAGACCTCAATATGAAAGATTTTGAAAGAAAAAAAAATTGGTAGATGTTAAATTTGAACCTGTGAGATGGGTTTGTGATTTGGTGAAATTGTGTCCATGTTAAGGGCAGGAGGCTGAGACAAATTCTTTACAAGGCCAAAGCCAGTTGGAGAGAGAAGAGAAAATGATGATGAGAGGAAAGAGAGGTTCTGGGGTTTGGGATTTGGAGAAGGAGATAGAGATGAGAGAGCGAAGGCAGCAGGTAAAGCAGAGGCAGCTATGGCAGTCTTTGTTGTGGTTGCTACTGACCTGAGAAATGCCATTTTATTGGTGTATTTTTTTTTACTCTGAAATTGGTTGGTGACTTTTTATTGTCTCTCTGTATCTAGACTTTTCTTAGATTTTTCTCACTTTTTTCAAAAAAAAAAAAAAAAAGAACTGGATTTTTTCTTTTGTACATTTATTTATTTGTTTATTGCCTTTCATGTATCGTCCATCTAGCTTTTCAACATTTGAGGACCGACAATTTATGAAAATGTTTTTCCTTTTTTTTATATATTAAAAAAAAAAGTGGCTGCATTTGAGGACTGACAATTTATGAAAATGTTTTTCTTTTTTTTTTTTAAAAAAAAAGGGGGTGAACCTTTTCTTTTGTATGATAAAACACGAACAAGTTGGGTGGGATGGGATCATTTTAAAAAAATAATAATAATAATAGTAATAAAAATTTGAAAAAAGGATTAGATCGGTAAGTGAGAGTTCGTTCCGGCTTATTCCTCGTTTAAATTGGGTGTCTGTTTTGCGCCTGTACTTTTAGGAATGCATGAATTCAAGAAGAATAAATTTTTTCCTGTTGGGCTGGATTGCTTGAAACTATGATAATTGTAGTCATTTTCTTGTTCTCTAATTTTATTTTTAAGGAGAAATTCCTTCGTTTCTTTCCATAGATGTCATGTGAGGTCTGAGAAGAATGAGAAAAACCTAACACTACTGACATTATTCAAGCAAGATCCAATTAATTTAACTTCTCTGTTACACTTGTTCGTGTCATGTCGGAAAAGTAAGGAAAGGGAAAAAATAAAATAAAAAGAGCCTGTAGAATTCATGACAAATAAGCATTAATTAGCAGGTTCCAAAACATTATATTGGGTCATCTCCAGGCTTAGGTTCCAAACGATTGCAAAGATTGTAACATCGCACAGAATGTGGAGCCATAACTGTAAGATCCTTCAGAGAAGCTACCAGCTGAAATCATCATGGAGAGCCATTTCGTGGGAGTCAGACTTTCCATGATAATCTTGCACCGTCTACTGTTAACAACAGAATCGCTTTTTCACAATTTCGAATTGAAGAGCTTTAATCCATCAACTTTGACACAGATGTAGACTGCAGTTGAAAAATAATAAAATGAAAATAATTGGTTCCTGCACAAATCAATAAGCATCCAACACAGTTACAAGCGTAGTGACTGAACGAACAACAAGAAAAACAGTTAGTCTTATATGTTCCTGGGTCGTGGCTGCTAAGTGCAACTTAGTAGTCTTGCTTGTCCGCAGTAATCCATGATATACAAGTTGATTCGTCCTAGAAATTTGGTCCATCGGAGGTTGTCTCATAGATCCCATCAATAACTTGATTAACGACGACAGACCTGAGATTTTGACTTGTCCTTGTTGATTCTTTTGATGTTATAAGGTACGGCGGATACCGGTTTACATAAAGAGAACATCCACATAAAATGCAATCCTTGTTTTGCAGATTTGGTTAAGATGGCTACTAGCGAATTCTAGCATAGTTTCCGCGCCTCACTGCAAGTAAATTTATATCATATATTTTAATATTTTAAAAAATCTAGATATAAAACAAAAACTAATTTACACTAATTGTGAGAATTTGTTTAATTTAATTTGTATTATGTAATATTTAATGACATTATTATATTATATAGTTGATTTTAAATATATCCTATGAACATGTTTGATTTTAATCAATTAAAAAAAACATGTAATTAATTATTTTTAAAAAAAATCAAATTTGAAGAGGGTGTTAAATTAATTTATATTAAAAAGTATTTAATTTTAATTAATGAGTCTATAAAATATAAAAACATAACCGTTAACTATGGAGAAAAAATCAAAATCCAGGCATACAAAAAAAAAAACCATCTATAGGAATTTTTTTGTAATACAAATGAAGATTTAAGAATTGTTTTGCACAATATTACAATAAAAGCATAAGAAAAGAAAAGAAGGCCCTTTGGGATGGCCTAAGACAACCGGAGACCCACGTCTAGCCTGGAAGCACAACTTAACCATTGAAAAAAAACAAAAAAAAAAACCTTTATTGCAATACAAATTAAATTTAGGAATCGTTTTGTTTAAAAGTAAAACTTGAAGAACTGAAGTATAAAAAATTGTACAAAACCTATAAAAAAATCATTTTTTCTTTTTTTTTTTGGTAAAACCACTTAATCTCAATATACAATGACCATATAATTTTTTTTATATGCATAATATTAATTAATAAATATACTAAAACAAAATAAACTTTAACAGTAGCTAAGCCTTTATTTTGGCTTTTTATAATTTTTTTTATTTCGATCCCTCGTTTTGTGATCTTACCTCTATTTTGATCATTATAGGTTTCTCATGTGTGATTTTTGTCCCTATATGCTGCAAAGATTTCTTTGCATTTCGTTTCAGTCTTTACATTATACTTTTATTTTGATCTTTTAAATTTTAAAATTATTCTTATTGTGCTCATTTTTATTACTATATGTCAATTTTTCTTAAAATGTTTTATTTAATTATTAAAAATAAACTTTTTGATTTTATTTGAATACATTATTGGAGTAAATTAATATGTCTATTTATTTAAATAATTTTTTCTATCATGTGAATAAATAATCTGATTTTTGTGGGAGAAATTAGTTATATTTAAGAGTGAAAGTAAAAAAAAAATTATAAGTTTTGATATCAAATATTCAACTAAATATAGTTCCACTCGTAGCTAAGTTTTTTTTTCATTTTGATCAATTTTTTTTTTAACCTTATTTGTATTTTGGTCATTGGAGTTTTGTCATGTGTGATTTTTGTTCATCTATGCTACAAAGTTTTCTTTAACTTTTCGTTTCGATGCTTATATTATACTTTTATTTCGAGTCCTTCAAACTTCAAAATTATTATTATTATCATCATATTTATTGTTGTATCTTAATTTTTAAAAAATGTTTTTATTGAATTATTGAAAATAGGTCCTTTGATTGAATCTTAATATATTATTAGAGTAAATTAGTATGTCTATTTATTTAAATAGATTTTTTACCTTGCAAAATTGTTTAATAATTAGAATGTCCTTATATCATTGGAGTAAATTATCAAAGAATAGTTTGTTACCCACATTATGTTGTAGGTCAAGCAAAACAGGTAGAATCATGCGCAAAAAAATGACATTGATTTATCCAAATATAATTAGACTATATAAAAGTTTTGAAAATAATTCATCTCTTCTAAAAGGTGATTGTTACAAGTTTAGTTCGTTAAGAGCAAAACGCTTAAATGGATTTCATGAACTCAAAGAATTTCAAAAGAAGTTACGCTCAAATAGGGATTCTTGCCTAAAAAGACTAGATTCATTTCTTTTTTGCCCCTAGTTGCTTGATAAAAATTCATGATTGAATGTCATAAATGATGATTTGTAATGCATAAACCAAGTCAAGATTTTTTAAAAAATATTTTCCTTCTTCTCATTTGAATCTAGAACTCATCAACACAAATAAGTCATCTTTGATTAGAAAGGGTTTCTCGGACACGCATTGAAGGCTAAGGCTTCACTTATGAACGAAAGGATACAAAGGGCTCAAAAGGCGTTTGAGGGTATATAGACTTAGGACCATTTAATCATCCATCAAGATCACTTTTCCCATGTCGTCTTAACTTTATCACTTTCATAATTGGTTTTGATTTTTATATTATTTGATACTTATAAAGAATCACACTAGGCATTCTGCTATGACTTTGTCATCTTGGTAATTGATCTCATTTTCTAATCTTAATTCTTCTTTCGAGTTCACTTTTTTTTTTTTTTTTTTTTTGAGATTTCTAACCCTTTCTAATTTCATATCACAAGAGTGTCACTCTAGATAGCACTTTTTTTTTTTTTTTTGTCTTAGTGCTTTCACTTTCAATTTTTTTTTCTTGTTCCCCTTTTTTGTTCAAAGTCATTTCGAGGGTTTTTTCGATAAGTTTTTTTTTTTTTTTGAGCAATCATCACCATCATTTCTCATCTCTTTTTCTAAAAGAACATATTCGATTATTCATGAACTTCAAAATTGCTCCCATTATGAGGGGTGATCATAGTCTAAGTCATTATCGAAAAATATCTTCTAGGCTCAAAGTTGGACAACAAGAGATAAGTTTTTATTTGTGAAACATTATACCAAAAAAGACCTTTTTTCATCCCAAATTTGATCTTATTTAGGCTGATAAGTTCTAGTTTTATTTGAAAACTATGATTGACTTATAGAGAAAAAGTGATGGATAAGGTGGGATCATGACCTAAATGGGTACCACTTATCATCATTTAAAGCATCGACCCACTAGTTTTTTTATCGTAGGCATTGATGTATTGTCTTAGGAAAGACTATCCTTAAAAAAGTTTATCAAGAATAGGAAAAAATATGTTTTTGTTTCAAAACAAGGGACTTCCCTTTAGTATTTACATGATATTTTCTAAAAGTTGATCAATATTAAAAGATTTTGAAAAAGTTTTTCATTTTATTCATTTTGATTTTGATGATATAAAATGACAATGATACTTTCGAATAAACATATCTTAATTTTCAATCAATAATAAATCATGCCAAGATAGTATAATTTTCTTTTGTAAAGAAACAACCCAATCCATGAAAATGACAAAACTTTTGTAAATGAAATCTGAAAATTTGATAAAAGATAAGATTTTATTAATAAAATCAAGACACGTTCATGCTTTTTTGATGAGCTCTATGCATTCTTCTCATATTTATTTTCATGCACAATATAATTAGAGTTAAGTTGACCTTTTTTTAGCACAATCACTTAGTGTTTTTTTTTAAAAAAAGATGTAATCATATTGAATGTCCTAAAGATAAGGTGAAAATGCAAACAAAACAAATAAAAAAAGAAGGCAAAATGGAAATTTAAGAAGAAAATTCACATGATCCAATAAATTAACATCATATGAAAGCATGATAAAGATTTTGTACAATACATTCATGACCCAAAATGCAGAAAAGAAAAGACAATTATGATAAGGAAACTACTCAGCTTTAGAAATAAAATGT